ACCGCTCGTTCAGCACATGCGCACCTCTTCCCCCGCTCCACACACACACAGAGTCACATGGTAATAAGAGTGCTGCTACGGAGGACTAACGCTTCAGTCGGGGCTCAGCGGTTAGTCACGTTTATGAAGGTTATTTCTCCGATAAACACTCTGAACGACCGATGCACTGCACTGCAGGGGCGCCTAGATCAGTTCCACGCGTCTCCACTAGCTGCAGTGCTTTCTCCTGGTTCATTTATTTCAAATAATAAGCTGAAAAGTTCGGGATGTTCTAGTCAAATTGTGCTTATGTAGGAAGCAAGCCTCTGGATGCGAATGTAGCAGTAGTTCTATGGAAAAGGCTCATGAATATTAATAATTTAATATGTCATTGGCCAGTAGGATTGGCAGGTGTTTTTACAAGCTATCACAAAAAAAGGAGGGGGGACCGTTTTGTGGCGTATAATGAGTATGTTAGATTTAAAGGGATAGTTCATCCAAAAATGAACGTTCATTTAAAACAAAGCAAGCAAACAAACAAACAAAAAAAGCAGAACACAAAAGAAGATATTTGTAAGAATGTTGGTAACCAAACCAAATGGTTCCCATTGACTTACATAGTATTTTCCCCATGTAAAGTCACTGGGATCCATCAATTGTTTGATTACCCGTATTCTTCAAAATATCTCATTTAGAGTGACCATACATCCCCTTTTTCCCGGACATGTCCTCTTTTCGGACCTAAAAAAATGTGTCCGACCGGGATTTCTAAATCGCCCAAAATGGCCGGGATTCGGCTTTTGCTTTCTACAGACGCCATTCATAGTGTGCGTTTTTGTATTAGAGCCCTGAAGAAGACTGTGTCCAGTCCCGCCCACTCCCGCAAACATTCTAATATTGCACCGGTTTTGTGCGAGAGCAAAAGAAATCGCTACAATAATGCGCTCTCGACATTTGTCATTAAAATAACGCCATACATGTAGCAAGAAAAATATGGAACACAACAGATGTAGTGAACACATGTAAAACAAGCACACATAACACAAATAGAACACCGGGGAGAAAACGCATTTAAATACTAAGGCAGATGAAACAACAGTAAGCAAAAGGAGATAACACATTCTAAAAAGTCTATTTTAAAGAGCTGTGTCTTAGACAGCCCTGCTCCATCACTGATACCTGCAGCAGTGTACAGGTTGGGTGAGCTCTGGACCCTCTTCACAGGCCAGAGAGTGAGCGACAGGGATGCTCTTTTATGAGCATGTCCTCCGCTATCTGCAGTATGTTTGTTTGCACACGCACACGCAGAAGCACACAAGCAAAACAAAAACAGAAAGCAAAGCACATGCATTGTTAATGCAACATTATTGCACCAAAGACAATGCAAAAAATTAAAATGTTAAAAATAATAAAAAAATTAATTAAACGATAAATGATTACCTACCGTTCAAAAGTTTGTTTTTTTTATTTCTTTTTTTTAAGCAAGGATGCATTAAATGGTTAAAAAGTGACCGTAAAGACATGTAGAATGTTAAAACATATTTAAATGATCAATTTCCCTTTTAAACAGTGATAAAAAAGGTTACTTGAGCACCAAATCAGCATATAAGAAAACTTTCTGAAGGATCATGTGACACTAAAGACTGGAATAATTAAGCTTTGCAATTGTAGGAATAAATTACATTTTAAAATAAATCAAAACAGAAAACGGTAAATTTTAATTGTAATAAAATTCCCTTCTTACTGTATTTTTGATCAAATAAATGTAATTGTTAAACATAAGAGACTTCTTTAAAAAAAAAAACAATTATAATCTTACCAACCCTAAACTTTTGAACAATATTGTGTTATAGCAATTAAAGGTTAATCTTGCTTTACAGAAAGCATACAACTTGTGCAGCATTCTGGAAAAGATGAGAGATTATAAACACATTGTTTCCAAACCAGGCATGATGTGATGACATTTTATATAACATATGTGGAGCCTGATTTTGGACCAATAATATTATTTTTCAAAATGAGCATGAGCAAAACAGAGATTACTGTGTAGAATATTATAGCTTATCCCACAATGCAATGCATTTAGTTTGACCTTTTATTGTGATGGATGAACCAGAAGCACTTACTGCATGTCTTTCTTGACACTAAATGTTACAATGTTTACACAAAATTTGATTAAAAACACACAATAACTGTTTTGTTGCACTAGTGGCAAAAAATTACACAAGTGTTTTAATAATGGACTTACCTGTATTCATGATGAAGATCTCCACTGATCTGTGTTCTGAAGAAGGACACTTTCACCTGTAAAACACATCAAGCTATTCTTAATAATCTCAGAATCAATTCATTTTCATCTACATACAGTAAATAGATGCTTAAATTATATATTGTGTATTAGCAAGCTAATTTATTAGCATGCACTGGCTTGTTGTTTAATGCCCAATACCAGATGCTAAAGTGCCTAAACTGTTTAGCAACCGTGTATTTTTATTTAGCAGTTCTATGACTAGTACAGGTTATATTTATTCAGAGTGACAGATATAGAGGATATTCTGTTTTAAACATGTTTGTTGTGTATCAAATGGAGACATAGTCCTTAATATGGATCCATGACAGACAACAGCTAGAAACTGTGGCGTCAGTGTATGTGTGTGTCTAGTATGTAGTAATACTCTGACTGACACCAGACAGTCTGGACACCAGGAATACACTCGATCTGCCTGCGATGTGTTAATTTTACAGTGCACTACACACATATTTCACTCTCTCTCTCGTCACTATCAGTATTCGTAAACATGAAGCATGAGGTGTGGAATGTGTGTGGTGGAATCTCATCATAGCATTTGTATCTGTCTCATATGAATACTAAATAATGTTTCCCAATAGACATGTTAACAAGATAAGAGATAGAATTTATGTCGAGATAATGCTATGATGATGTTGCTCCACTTCTGAATAGCAACAGTTGAGTATTCCCAAACACACTCCTTACAATAACTGATAACGTGCATCTCATGTTCACTGAGGCTAACGGGGAGCAGACATAATGGATTAAAGAGAGAGAGAGAGAGAGCATTTAGACATAAAAATAAGATCCAGTTGTCAGATATCCCTTTGCCACTGACAGATTTATAACTTGCCAGGAGAAACGTTCTACACTCAGGGAGTGAAAACGTTGTCAACACTATTTGAATCTCAGTAACTTAAGCTATGGCACAATTGTTGTCCTAATGTGACCCAGAATTCCATATTACTTTTTAACCATTAAACTTTTTTAACTTGCCATATTAAATTAATAAAGTCTTGGTTAGATGAAGCTGACACCCTATAGCGTAAGACGTCAGATCATAGACTGCCGAAAACAAATCTCAATACATTCACTAAATTGATATGTACTTTTCAATTGTCCCCTATACCTTGAAACTAATGCAGAAAGTAGAAGAACACTCTAGAAGTATTTTCATAACATGCTGTGTGACCCAGCTAATGCCATGGAGGTTCTTCCCTAACTTGGTGGGCCCAAAATAAAGACACTAAAAGCACTAATAATAGTCTGTAGCATCTTTAAAAAGAATGAGTCTCTGGGTCATCAAGAAATGGAAGCAAAACACAGACTATTCAAGGATCATCTGCGCAATCCAGTACCAATTTACTGTTTTACTATGAAGCTGTCCTATTTCCAACCCACTATTTTAGGTTTTGGTGAAGCGGTGGTGAATTCTTAATAACCTTATTCATAGATTTTCATATAATCTTCATACGCTCCACTGAGGGTTAGGCTTTGGGGTGGACTTTCATGCTCAGTTATACAAATTTGCCACCAATTTAGAAAAAAGTAAAACAGTATCATTATCTCATGAGATTGGGTTGCATATTTAAAAAAATACTCATACTCTATATCATGGGGGTCAAACTCATTTTAGGTTGAGGGCTGGATTAGAGAAAATGACCTCTTGCGTGGGACAAATTGTTAAAACTTTTCAATTGCTCACAATTGCATTAATATTAACCATACAAACTACAATATAATTTACAAGAAAACTAGATGATGCTATTGATAAAAATTATATCTCAATATTTTTTGGAATTTTTATTTTTTTTTGATAATGATAATTTGACCAGATTTTGCAGTGTGTTTTTGAGATAGTACCTTGGTTGGGTTGAGCTTGTCATGGATAAATGCATAAATAAATATGAAGCTAAAACTGCCAGTAGGTGATAGGTGTTGTCTTTATGAATGGGCCATTGAATCATTGACTCAAATGAAATACAGATTCATTCAGTTGCAAAACACACTGCATTGCTCGGACAAAAAAAAAAAAAAACGACAAAAACTAATCAACTGACAAAAACGAATCAACTGACAAACATGCCACCCTCTTACTAATACCATACATTTTCCTTATTTTTTCTACTCCTTCCCATCATCCATTTGGTTTCATATGTGACTCCAACCTTTTTTACAATCCAATTCCCGATGGGTAAAATCAAGTCCTGTCCATCCAACCTTAAAATGTTATATTCTAATCCACAGCTGCAGCTTTGAGCACCTGATTAGTTACTGGCAATATTAGTGCAAAGCCCTCTGGGTGCACTTGAGTGACAAACATTCAATGCCATCTGCAGCTTGTGTTAACGGGCAATTAAGCTGGCATTTCCGTTATGTAATGGACTAGCTGCCACGGCTGTACACTTCGCCATGAATACTGTAATTCTCCATTGTTTGACAAGGCTCAGCTGGAAGAAATTTGTGTTTTCAGATATTCAGTTTTTGGCACAAATAGCCGAAGGCAGCTCAGTACAGATTTTGTCAATAGCTTTCAGTATTTGCTTGCAGTTTTCATGAAAGGACTTACACACTAATAAAATTGTTCTTAGCTATTTTCTTGCACACATATGGGCTTTCACACTTCAGATTGTTAATTGAGACATTTTTTAACCAGGGGTTAGTGGTAACACACTCATTTGTGGTCTCTTAAATTCTCTGTTCCACACACACTCACACTGCCTATGGAATGTGGGCACTATAGATCAGCATACAATGACAGGACAGTACATGGATAGAGTTTCAATGGGCAAACCAGAGGCGTCACAACAGCTGTATGATGGAACACACACTATTGTTCTTTTTAAAAGAAGTCTCCTATACTCACCAAGGCTGCATATATTGGGGAAAAATTATGTATATTGTGAAATATTATTACAATATACAGTTTTCAGTGTGACATGATCTTTTAGAAATTCTAATATGCTAATTTGGTGCCCAGGAAAAAAACATTCTTATTATTATCATCAATGTTAAAAACAGTCGTGCTGTTTAATGTATTTGTGGAAATCGTGATACATTTGTTTTCAGGTATCTTGGATGAACAGAAAGTTCAAAAGAGCATTTATTATAAATAAATAACTTTTGTAACATTATAAATGTCAGAATGAGTCTCAGAATAAATCCTTTTTACTTACAGACCCCAAACTTGTGTAGTGTATGTTTATATGCTGTCCAATTCTAAAGTGTTACATGAAGTAGTGTTGTGAAGACCGTATGATCACATTAGATAAGTTCTCTAGGGATCTTTCTCATTTTATGAAGGAGTAAAATATAGGAAGCAATACTAGAGCAACATGAGATGGAGGAAACGCAATCTCAAATTGTGAAATCCATCATAAAGTTATTGCATGCTTCTCAAAAACAGTTTGTGATCATGAATATAGTGTGTCTGCAGGAAACTGATCTGACAGCTGATTCAGAGGAGTTCCCACAACCATGAGAACATCAATATGAACCACATGACAGAAAATATTTTACATCTGACAGCACTACAGATATATTTGCTATTTATACATCTAAAGGCATCCATCAACTTCTCCAGTAAAGGGATAGTTTGTTATAGTTGAATTTAAGTCAATGGAATCCAATGTTGTTTTTTATTCTTTCGTATAAAACATCTGAAATAATATTCATGTTTTGTATTAATTTTGAATTAATTATTTCATTAAGCCTGTAGCTGTTATTTAAAGGGGGTTACAATGCTGTTTCGTGCATTCAGAGTATTTCTATGTGTATTTCTGAGTATTGCTGTGTGTTACTTCCGGGTTCGTACAAGTTTCGGAGAGTTTTTTTCGATCGTGGCTCTTAATGACGTAAACGAGGGTGGAACTCCTTATATGGGCATTTCTCCCGGAAGAACGAAAAAGAAGAAAAATGTCTCCAATCCAAAGAAGTGTGTTTTTTGTAAGGGTTGTAAGGGAAAGATAACTTTGTTCAGCGTCCTAAAGAACCCAGTGTTATGTAAACAGTGGATACAGTTTGTTTTTCCGGAGCAGCAACGGAATTTCACAAGTGCGTTTGTTGACGAACGTTTTATAAACAAGGCCCAGTTCGACGCTGGATTTGCACATCGTTTAATACTGAAAGATGGAGTGGTCCCAGCTATAAAATCTTTCTTTTATAAATATGATAAAACTAAAGACTTTTTGGAGATATGAAGGATGCAGTACTACTCTATAGGTACTCAAGATTAACATGAGATTGGGTGAAGCTGTGTGTGGTATGCCCCCTTTAAGAGTATTTGGCAGCATTTGTAAATATTTCTAAGCACCTTGTAATTCTGAAAAGAAACAGCTTCAGGACTGTTATGTATTTACAGTAATCAAACATGGCCTCTATTGATGATATTTTCCTGAGAGGTACAGTAAAGAATGGCTCTTAACAAGCAGTGACACTTAATCTTCTTTATATGACAGAACTGGTGGCAGAGAGCATGTCTCTGTAATAAGGTCATTTTTATGCCATATATAACAGCCGTTGAGGTAAATGTAGAACGGTGATTCATTATGAATCTGCTGTGTGAATGAGTGAATGAGTGAATCTTGTAAGCATAAATAAAATCACTCCGAATAGGCCACTATCGTCCGCCAAAGAATTTATTTCGGAATATTTTTAAACCACCATGACAGATTTAAAGGGGCCAGAGAATTCAAGTCAGCTAAATAAATCAACTCTACGTAACTTGATGATAGAATCTACAAAACAGGGGAGGACAACATCAAGCTTGAGCTGGAACAACAAAATGAATGGTGATGTTTAGCCTGATTAGCTATTCTATCTAAAGCTAGTGGGAGTGAGAGGAGGAAGCTATAAGAGGTTGTTTTGCTGTTGTGCATGCGTGTTTGTGCCATTAGAAAGATGTGGAGGCTGTGTGGGTTTCTAAAGTTATACCAAAGTTGTCATTAGTGTTCTATTGGATGCCCAAACGAATATGTGTGTGTCTAAAAGTTTTGTGTAGATCCTTTACG